GGGGGGGGGGGGGAGTGATATACACCAACATCCCTTACGTCCTCATACTGTTGTAGTTTTTATATATATATTCTGTCTGACCTTAAGCTAGATTTACCACTTTTTTTGTAAACCAGCGCATTTAACCTTGATCTGCTTTAAAGCTTTCCTAAATGGAATTACACGTGATCTAAGAAAAGATTGTTTTAGTTTGTTAATAAAAAAATCTTTAGAAAATCACATTTACTGGTTTCATATTTTTTCTGTTTGGTGGTTTGTTCAGAGTCGCGTTCTAAAGTGTTGAAATAACGATATGCATTGGTTAAACACAACTAATTTTCAAACATTTTAACACGTCATGTTCTTTTTCTTTATGATGTCAACAAGACACACAAGTTGACAGATGATTAGAATCATGACGTAATAATAGTCTGTATGAAACTTGTAAACAATGAAACCGGTGATTAGAATCATGACGTAATAATAGCCAGTATGAAAGTTGTAAACAATTAAACAGATGATTAGAATCATGACGTAATAATAGTCTGTATGAAACTTGTAAACAATGAAACCGGTGATTAGAATCATGACGTAATAATAGCCTGTATGAAAGTTGTAAACAATGAAACCGGTGATTAGAATCATGACGTAATAATAGCCAGTATGAAACTTGTAAACAATTAAACAGATGATTAGAATCATGACGTAATAATAGCCTGTATGAAAGTTGTAAACAATGAAACCGGTGATTCTTACAAGGTTTCCATTTGATCTATAACGTTAGTAGAACTAGGCAAAAAAACTGTAGTTGTTTTAAGATTTTTATTCGGGATGTATCTTTGAACGTATGATTTATTATTAAATGTTCAACAAAAAAATCTTTAAAAAGAAGAACTTAAAGGTTCTTATTTACGATTGATAAATAAAAATGCAGTGAATTAATGAATGAACAGTTGAAATCACAGTTCTAAAAAGTTAAAGAATTGATTTCTTATTTCAAAACACAATCTGACTTCACTTTTATGATAACAATAGTTATTTTACGAGTCGTATATATAAACATCTGACTTCACTTTTATGATAACAATAGTTATTTTACGAGTCGTATATATAAACATCTGACTTCACTTTTATGATAACAATAGTTATTTTACGAGTCGTATATATAAACACCTTCAAATGGAAAGGATTTGTTGTTACTTGTCGATGTCAGTAGAGCGTCACCACCAATGTTTATATAGATCACTGTACCATGTTTATATAGATAACTGTACCATGTTTATATAGATCACTGTACCATGTTTATATAGATCAATATGTAATGTTTATATAGATCACTGTATCATGTTTATATAGAGCACTATACCATGTTTATATAGATCACTATACGATGTTTATATAGATCACTATACGATGTTTATATAGATCACTGTACCATATTTATATAGATAACTGTACCATGTTTGTATAGATAACTGTACCATGTTTATATAGATCATTGTACCATGTTTGTATAGATAGCTGTACCATGTTTGTATAGATAACTGTACCATGTTTATATAGATCACTATACCATGTTTATATAGATCACTATACGATGTTTATATAGATCACTGTACCATGTTTATATAGATAACTGTACCATGTTTATATAGATAACTGTACCATGTTTATATATATCACTATACCATGTTTATATAGATCAATATGTAATGTTTATATAGATAACTGTACCATGTTTATATAGATCACTGTACCATGTTTATATAGATAACTGTACAATGTTTATATAGATCACTATAACATGTTTATATAGATCACTGTACCATATTTATATAGATAACTGTACCATGTTTATATAGATCACTGTACCATGTTTATATAGATAACTGTACCATGTTTGTATAAATAACTGTACCATGTTTATATAGATCACTGTACCATGTTTATATAGATCACTATACCATGTTTATATAGATCACTATACCATGTTTATATAGATCACTGTACCATGTTTATATAGATCACTATACCATGTTTATATAGATAACTGTACCATGTTTATATAGATAACTGTACCATGTTTATATAGATCACTGTACCATGTTTGTATAGATCAATATGTAATGTTTATTAGATCAATTTACCATGTTTATATAGATCACTTTATCGTGTTTATACAGGTCAATATGGGATGTTTATATAGATCACTTTCCAATGTTTAAATTTATTACTAAAGAAAAGTTATAATTATTTTTACAACCATTTCATGCAAGACACAATTAATTTGTTATAAATTAAATTATTGGTACTTTAGAAATTATTCTGTGAATTGACAACCAGTGGTTTCAGAAACACTACCTTATTGAACATTATTTCCCCCCTATGACCACAGACAAGAATGGCATTCCCCTGTAAATATGTCACATCAGGACCATAAAACTAGATCAAGGCTACGATCTAGTAAGCAGATATGATCTCCGGGTCAGCGATACTGAAGCGTAAAACAAGACACGCCCAGTTAATGTGTGCTTGATGTTATCAGTCTTAGGGACACCGTTTCTTTTTTACGGGAAGTTTTTGTGGAGGAAGTTCGTACAAAGGGGGGTGGGGAGAAGAGCGGCGAAGGTGTGTCCGGCATCTTTAAGGTCATCTAATGTGGAATTGTCGAAAATGATGACGTGGAGATACTTTTCGCCTGTTGAAACGGAAGTGTGAGGGAAAAGGGTGTGTGTGTGTGTGTAAGGACTCAGTTAACATACAACTTGGAACTGTATAAAAGGAGAAAGGAGGAACTCGGTAAATCCAGAAGTCCTCAGAGTTCCAATAGACTAAGTTATCCTCTACATCTCCTGGGAAGCATGAAAGTAAGTATTACTAAGTAGAACCTGTGAAACAACGCTATTTCCTGCACTAATGTCGTTTCTGTCTTTTTTTTCGTATGAAATCAAGGTATTTTTCTTAAGACAAAAACAAACAACGACTCTGAAATTCATCTCAAAGACAACTTATTGAGAGATGGAAATAAATTTGACACATTTTACTTTCCAAAGATTGCTTCAGACGGTGTACAAACGTTTTGGTTTTAACAGGTACTCATTTCGTGAGCTTTAACTGTTCTTGTACTGTACAAATCTTCTTCTTGTGCTATAACTGTTGTTATACTTCACAGGTCCTCGTTTGTTCTGCTCTAACTGTTCTTATACTCTATAGGTCCTCATTTATTCTGCTCTAACTGTTCTTATACTCTATAGGTCCTCATTTATTCTGCTCTAACTGTTCTTATACTCTATAGGTCCTCATTTATTCTGCTCTAACTGTTCTTATACTCTATAGGTCCTCATTTATTCTGCTCTAACTGTTCTTATACTATATAGGTCCTCATTTATTCTGCTCTAACTGTTCTATACTTCACAGGTCCTCATCTTGTGTGCTCTTGTTGCCGCCGCCCAGGCTGGTTTAATCTACGCTCCTCGTTATCTAGAAGCTGGTGGAAGCACTCAGTTCCGTAACCAGGATGTAAGTTTGTTTTGTATAACTTAAGTATAATGATATTTATCGTGTTGTCTATTATATTAATAAACGTATAGATATTTACAGATGTATATACTTCTAAAGTGATGTTTTCTGGTGTATCTTGAATACATCTCTCTCTCTTCTTATCCGTACAGAGTGTCGGAAACTACAACTTCGGATACAACGAGGGTCACACTTCCGGCAGCACTTTCCGCAGAGAAACCGGCGATGCTTACGGTAACAAGGCCGGTTCTTACGGTCTGAGAGACGCTGACGGCCGTGTCCGTCTCGTTAACTACGTGGCTGATGCCGCTGGTTTCCGTACCAACATCCAGTCCAACGAACCCGGCGTGGAGCCCAAGGACCCTGCCAACACCTCCATCAACAAGGCTGTGGTCGCTCCCGTCACCTACGCCGCTGCTGCCCCTGCACTCACCTACGCTGCTGCCCCTGCTCTAGCCTATGCAGCTCATCCAGCAGCTTATAACTACGGTCACGGTCTCGGTTACTACGGTGGCGCCCACTTGGGTGCTGCACCTTACTACAACTATGGCGGTTACCTCTGGTAACTCAAATAATCCCGATTTCCGTTCTTCAAGGCCAAAGTTCTAGATATTTGTATCAATGGTGTCAATAAAATCCTGAAAAAAAAAGTACCACTGGTTACCGTCAATATTTTTAATCTCTCTACTATCGCATTTAAACTTATTATTGGTACGTAATAATCTTTTACAGTTAATTACTTCTGGTAAAAACACAAATCAATGTTCTTAATAGAGTGTGAAAATAAACGTGGTTTTTCACAACCTACTTAAATGCTCGTAACATACACAATCGTGTAAAAAACAACAAAAAACAGCTTGTAAGTTTGTAAGCTGATTATCAGAGTTCGAGCCTTGCCAAGTTCCGACGTTAACAACCAATCAACTTGAAACAGAGGTGCAATATTCAGGCTCGAGTCCTTCTGGTCTCAGATTTTGCTTCTTTAGAAAATAACTCTGAAATAATTTTCAACCTCAACAGCGGCACAAGGACTAAACACCCAGTTCTCTGACACCCGGATCCCAACCCCTACAATATTAAAGATTAATGTATAGCCGTTACCATATTTTAAAGTACTGTTGAAGAAATGAACCCGCCGCCACAAGAACTTTGTTTAGGACTTTGAAGGGATTGAATGTAACAGGTGAAAGTGCTGAGTATGTTTAGACCCCCCTCCCTCCCATATTAACCATTAGTCCCCTCCGTCAGAGCTACTTATAACGATCCGCAGTACGTTTACCATTTTTGACAGAAAATTAATTTTGACTTTATAACAGAGGTATTGTAGTTTCTTATAAGACTGTCGACCCAAGAGTCAATGGTTGCCCTTAAAAAAGTTGTGAGTGTGTTATTAGTGTGGCAGTCAAATTCCATTTTTTCGATTAAGTTAGCCTGAACGTTGGCGGTGAGCGTTATTGGATAGCTACTTTTCCCCTTGGATAACATCTCAAATAGCCATTGTGTAATTGTGTGTGAATATCCGAAATGAACTAAAAAAAGGAAAAACGGAATATTTGAATCATTTTTAACTGACACAAAAGTTTTTTGTTTTACTTCGCCCTAATTTCATTAATACCGGTTCGACACCTAAAGAGTGACACCTAACGGGATTCGAATCTACACTTCTTCCAACACCCTAAGTTTCACAGTTTCAAAGTATCATACACAATACTCATTGTACAACTTTTTCGTAATGCCCCCCCCCCCCCAGTGGGAAAGAAGAATGTCTGCGGAATTACAACGCTAGAAACTGGGGTTTGATACCCGTGGTGGCAGAAAACAGACACCTTTGTGCTCAACTATAAACAAACAAAATTTTCCTAACGGTATTTTTATAGATAAAAATGTTGACTTTCTTCTTTTTATTATAAAGTGACCAATAATAACGTGACCTAAAAAGTGTATACCGAAGACGACCAATCAGTGTAAAATCTCACGCATTAAAAGTCCTTCGCTTCGTTTACCGTAGCAGTTATTTCGATTTAAATCTTTTAACCCCAGGCCAAATTAACTTGACCAAGGGTCAAAAGTAATCGGGGTCGTTCAGAATCATTATCTCTTCACCTCGCTCACGGACTATACGTATCGTGAAAAAAAAAATAATAAAAGATATATATATAATATGAAATAATATTAATGATAAAAATAATAATTATAGTCAAAGAGAAAAGTAAAAAAAAACAACAACCTTAAACTGAATAAAGATAAAATAAAATAAATAAATGAATGAAATAAAATAAATAAATAAATGAATAAAATAAAATAAATAAATGAATAAAATAAAATAAATAAATGAATAAAATAAAATAAAATAAATAAATAAATGAATAAAATAAAATAAAATAAATAAATAAATGAATAAAAATAAAATAAAATAAATAAATGAATGAATAAAATAAATAAAAAATGAATAAAATAAATAAATGAATAAAATAAAATAAATAAATTAATGAATAAAATAAATAAATAAATGAATAAAAATAAAATTAAAATTAAATAAATAAATCAAAATAAAATAAATAAAGAAATCAAGGAGATTTTAAATCTGGCTATCAGACATAGGCGGCACCGATTATAGTAATGGTGCTTTAGTTTAATGTGCCTTTTTGGCTGGTTTGCGAGGCTACAGCGTTTACACTTAAAAAACAAAACAAATATCAGTGTTGGGGTGCGGATCTGAAAATCCTAATCCCCAAGTCCGTATGTTCCCCTACCACTTATATATTCCCCTGTATAACTGTCTTTTTTGCAGTGCTCGTTCTTCACTTTTTGTCACGTTTCGTTATGGTTTTTGTTTTTTCGGCAACACACGATAATCGCTAAAATAATTGTCTTTTTCTTTCAAAGTTTCCTCTTGTGATGTTTTCTTTTGCTTTATTGCTACTTGTATAATTTTTGGGGATCTGTTTCTTGACGATGCGATTTTAGAGCCTTCGTGTAAGGTTTCGCGTGGACTCCCTGCAGACAGTTGTTCCCTAGAGAGAAGGCAGCTAGTCTGCAACACCCACCGCCACTCTTGGGCTTTTGTTTTCTGATCTCTGACCTTGGCCTCAATTTACACAATTTTTTATAAACGAATTAAAAATCATGAATCATGTGATTTACCGTCTGGGCACACTAACTACTAAGCCATGCTCGGCTCCGATTTCAAAGCAAAAAATATTTTCAAAGAATAGTCGTATGTCAAGAATTTAAAATATTGGAAACTTGAACCAAATTTATTTGGTTGCTCTTACTTATTTCCTATAACTCTGATACAGAAACGATGAAGAAACGTCTGGAAAAATGTCGCAAATTTGTTATTATGCTGAGTATGACTTCGTTGTATTAAAATGATTTTGAAGCCTTACCACGTCGTTACAGTCTATGTCGCCACATCCGGACATGTCCTATCTGACGACTGTGTATCTTGACAGCGTAGTTTCCATTGAAAAATATCCCAAGTTTCTTCAAAATTCATTGATTTTCACTAAGTTATAGAGCAAAAATAGTGTGAAAATCCTGTCCCCATGTTTTATTTTCGTGACCTTGAACTTTGATTTTAACCCTCCAAAAACTAATCTAATGACTGTGTATCTTGACAGCGTAGTTTCCATTTAAAATATTGTGTCGTAAAGCTGTCACGTCAAAAGCACACCACTACTTCTAGAATGCTTTCCATGAACCATCTAGTATACGAGGACTACGATTTCAATAGTCTGATCACAAAATAGCATTAGAGCTGTGTCCGGCGAAATGATCAGTATGGAATAATATTCTCGAGCTACAAGGATTAAGGAATAATGTTCTCGAGCTACAAGGATTAAGGAATAATATTCTCGAGCTACAAGGATTAAACAAGAAGTATAATTGAAAGCCTTATCTTGCAACGTTGCTACCCTCGTTCACAGACGGAGATAATTCTTGATTATAGCGAATACTGTTGACTGGGAAATGTATAGATACGGGAAAAGCTACAGAAGAAGAAGAAGATAGCGAATACCATTGACTGGGAAATGTAGAGGGCTTTTGTCACTAAGTTAGGTATTCGTAGGTTTGTCACCACATAGGGTACGCCTTGTTTTTTCAAAGATATTTAGTACAAGGGGTATTCCCTTCTTGAAAATTCTAAGCCTTTGATCTGAACACATCTTTATGATCTGAGTGAATAAAAGGGCTATTATATACCCTTTTATCGATGAAATCAGACTACTAACATAATGACAAACAATATCAAAACGTAGTTCTTATACATTCCATTCCACCGCGACTATGATTGTCATGTGACTCGCTCATTTGTATATTCAAACTAGTTTTAATATAATATATTTAAGCTTCAGTATGGAGAGTTACAAATACAAACTGCTAATAAGTCATAGTTTCAATGATGGGTGATACTAATATTAAAATAATTTTAATATAATATATTTAACCCTAATACTATTGATATTATTGGTACTGATATTAAATGACATAAAAATGAAGACAATGAGATTTGATGAAAACTCTGATGCAGAGATTTATGTCTGAGGAAAAACAGATGTAGATAAACATATATTTGTTATAAGAAACTATGGGATGTAGCGAAGGATGTTGATAAAAGAAGTTCGGGCATAGAGATGTAAAAACTCAGACGTAAACAATTCTGCATACAGAAAGAAAAATACGAATTTAAAGAGTAACGTTTGAAGTGAAAGATAAACATGTATAATGTGTTTGATGAAAGCTGGGACCAAATAACGTACTGGTATTTTG